CAATACGAAAAGTAATAAAAGGTTAGTCGAGAGGTTAGTCAAACAAGCATCAAACGTTACTTTGTTCAACAAAATGCTAAGTGAAAATATTTCGAAGAAACATTTTTCACTGAAATAAATGAAATATAAAATGTGCTTTCGAAAGCTCTACAGTGTGCGTACCTGACAGAGGCTTGCTAGTTGGAAGGAATGTCGCATGTCATTTCTAAACTGAATGCGTACGAAAAAACTTAGAATCTTTAATTAGTTCTCACCTAAAGTTATGAATAAAATCTGCAAAGAAATTGTAGGAAGAAGCGAATATAAAAGTGTGCCAAACAATGTCACTACATGTGCACCTCCACTTTCCAAGAGATACGCTTCTACAAACAGATACATTTTTTTTTCAGTAGCGAGTCACTTTTTATGTTGACAAGTTTTGTGAAAAAATATCTGACAAAAACACAAACAACAACACATTTACAAGAGTACACTTAAGAGACCCCGCCAACCTTCGCTTATTTTTTTGTCGCGCCACCATCCCCCTTTTTTCTGGACTTTCTTTGATGTTTTATTGCGCTGTCTTCTCCCTACCGTACCTGCTCTCGAAATTAGACGAACGTAATTATTCGACAGAAAATTCGATTAACTTTATTATCGGTTAAAGTATTGATACAAAAGGGGGTTTCTGCGGTAGAAAAGGGAGGCGACGAAGAGATATATTACAATTTTATTTGCTATAAGCGAAGCTTTGCGCAAACAGAAGTTGTGCACATCAAACACCAATTAAATTAAAGTACGCTTGGTATTCTGCTCGCATACAAATGAATTACGTTTGGCTAAAGCTCCGCTTTAATACGTTGCATTCTGATTTAACTTTCAACTATTTCTTCTTCGGGCTTCATCTCAATTTTATTACATTTTCAGCGGTACCTTTTACGTCCGCATTTATTGCCTCTAAATTATGTAATTGCAAAATTAAATAAAGTGACTATCGACGCAGTCGAATCAGTTTATTTCACTGACGTCGTAAATCCTATGATACAACTTCTCCACTTAGTCAAGATGGTGTAACTCGAGCGAATAGTAAATTGTCAGCCAGCATATGACAAAAAAAGCAAAAGAAATGGAGTAATTAATATTTGATCACAAATACAAAGTAAATTGTAGTTAAATGAATTATAAAAAAAGACAAAACTACACAGTGCAAAGTTTGGTTAATTAATTTCGGTCGACACACATCGTTTGTACATTAACGCTGTATCTACGGTACTTCTAAAATTGTGCAGGACACAGTGGGGCAACTAAGCAAAATATTACAGTATAACCAAGATAGGGTAAAGATATCTGAAAAAGGCATTAGATACAAACAGCGATTTGAATAAATGAAAAGAGACCGAGAGAATTTTGTTCGATCAAAATTTTCGGTTTGATATTGGAAGTTAATTTGAATATTCTTTAATGAAAACAAGTTTGTGTGGGTTTTGATGAATGTTTTAGTAGCCGCGTGGGCATATCTGCAGTCGGTCTCCCTTAATTTGAATAGACGCAAATCAGTGCCAGTAGTTAAAACATCAGATTTCTGTGCCTCAATCAAAAAAGATCTACTCAATTTGCAAATCGATCTTCAGGAATCACGTGCCTGCTGCTTTAAATATTGAAAGAAAAATGCAATGTAACGGGCTTAAATGGATTTGCATGTTAGTATGCAATTGGGGTTGCGGCCGCCTTGTTTTTTTTCTTTCTGCAATTATGAGCCTCCACTTGCAGACGGAATTTTAATTTGGAAGATTCGTCCCACTTTAAGGGTAGAATGAGCAGATTTTATGTAGTTCTAAGTACCACTTAAGTTGTAAATTTCAAATTAACTTCATGTGTTGAATTATTTTACTTTGATGCGATGGGAGCAAGATAAGAAAATATAAGTGGTTACGCAGACACGTAGAGATCTCGTGCGCTCAAAATTCATAATTTACCAATATGTGAAAACCCGAGGCGCTGCAATTTCGTATACCATCAGCGCAGTTTATTGTGACGGGGATTTTTTCTATCCCCCCCTTTACCTTTTGCCAAGATTGAATTCTTTTTATCTGTAATTAATCAAGATCTCCAATCCTGAATTCATTAAATTATTTTAAACTGCATGACATAACGGTACACGTGAGAAAGTTGGACAACTTACGGTCTGAAGATGTTTGACCACAGCGTTTTAAATACATTATCGCAAGATCTAGCCTACTGTCAAAGCTTGTGTAATAGATTTGTTATAAAAATGGGGTTCGTGACATTCGGCTTTAATTTACACATCACAGAATTAAAATACGACCAAGCATTGTATGCAATGCTAATAAATTATAGAGGGTTGTTTTATTATAACTACCCAATTAAGTTTCAGTCAAAAATCCGAACTTTATTTAAAATGAAATCGGTTACACTAACTTAATGTACAACTGCAAGTTTTCAAAGTCCACCATTCAATAGTAAGAATTCGAAGCTATACATTTCAATAAATGCGACAATTTTCCTTCGTTTTATATATTACTGTAACGGAAACGCTCCAGACATGACGCCGCCTTTGGCGCTCTGGAATTTTCTACGCGCGCGATAGTGGGATTTGTGTAGGAATATTCGAGACTGTACGCGAATGTTCTGGACTTACATTGCTTGCGTGTATAAATGGTTGCGGACCGAACTTCGCGGCAGTTTTACTATCGAACGAGATCGAATACGGACGAAACATTGAGCGTGAAAATCTGATAGAAATTGCGAAGTGTGTGATATAAATAATCGATATAAATTGTACGGTTTTTATAGTGTTTTAGTTTTGTTTAATAAATATTGATATAAATCGAACCCGAATCACGTTACATTACTTTGATATAGAAAATATGCTATGTTATATGGCAATTTTGTGCGATGTTTTATCAATCAAAGTAGATAGGCTATGAGAGTTCTGGCCCACTTTTGGTCAAAATCCCATGTTATTTCCCATAAGAAATTCTAAGGTCCATTTCGGTCATTTTTGTATCACTTCTGTCATGTGCGCATGCGCGTCCCGGGCTCGCCGGCAGGGATGTCGTTGGTCGCAGGGGCCGGAGTGTGGTATTTCGGAGAGGCGTTGGTCCGGGCAGCCGGGGTGTGGGAGTTGTGTGGGAACTTTTACCGCCTCAGCTTAATCGACTTATTTCGACAGCCGTGGTGTTGGTATAGGCTCTCGGGGTGAGGGACTGTTTTTCCGTCCAATTAGTTTCGCTCCTTTTTTTTCGGCAGCCCGGGTCAAGGTTATTTTGGGAGGCATCAGTTCGGATCGAGGTTCGAACCTACTTCCCTGCGCACTTACTGCTGTATCAGAGGTCGGATAACCAACTGCGCTACCAGAACTATTACTTATCGACTGATATAGATGAGCCGTGTCTTTCCGTTTGCCTCATATTTTTGACAGTTATGCTTCTCATAAGCGTTGCGGTAAATTTGTAGGCGCGGGGATTCGAACCATCGATCTTTACATTAGAATCATCCATCTGAACCACTCGGCTACCGCGCCTTAATCATATCTACGTTAAAACAATCATAGGTAGGTAATTACTTGTGCTATTTATAGAATAAAAGGAAGCATTGTAGAAAAAATCGTTCCCCGATTCTCTAATTATTAAAACGAGAATTAGTCGACGTGTTGTTTAGATTTCCTATAATTATATGACATTGCATCATCCAGCTGTAATACTAGGTAACTTGTACTATCCAAGTCGTACGTGTATGGATGTTCTTCATATTCATTTTGCGATTATGGATAAAAATAAATGTTATATGGAATAGACTTCCTGGGATGGAATGTGTAAAAATGATCGGTCAGCTATTATACAATCGTCCTCTCCCTTACTACTTCATTGATGAAAGCATTGTAAATTTAATTACGAAGAATAATTTCAAATTCCAATACATAAATAGAACAAATGCAATTCTCGTATCATAGTACGCATTCAAAAATTATTCTGGGGCGTATTAGAATTCTTTTTGGGGAGCTTCATGGTAATACAAGCGGTATTTGGCAGCTACGGGAATGAAAAAAAAACAACTGAAGAAAAACTGCGCTACATTGGTAATCTTTCCCGCGATTTTACGTATAGTAACACTTTTGGCAAATTCTTTTTACCACCGCGCACATCAAAAGTTCGTCGGGGAACATTCCAATATAGGAAATGCACCGCGATTTTTTCGTGTCCATTTTTGTGAAGGTACCTTCTGCATTAGCGCGCACGCAAGGTTCTTTTTTACTGTGAGTTCGAAATTTCGGGCGGCTATGAGGTATCCAAATACGAGTAAGTGCATATCCTTTTTGCGGAAAAGCAATTTCTTACATCCCCCAATCTCATAATGAAGCCGCCATGCCTACTTGAACGATTCAGTATTGCATTATTATGTTCACACACTAAAAAGTGTAATTGGTCCATAAAATACGCGTTGCACTCATTGCAAATGCTTACCCCACCCCAACGAGCACCCTGTCGTGTTGGACTGGAGAATGGAGATGAAAGTAAATTAATTTCAAGTTCAAAATATAAACCTATAAACAAATGCAATTCTCGTTAGCGGTACCTAATAAGTATCTCTGCTCTTGGATAGTACTCATTCAGCACAAACTATCTGAGCCCTCACTCAACGGTATTATAATTCGTTAGCTCTGTAGATAATTATTATGCAAA